TAACTCCCTCATTTTTAACTCATATTTCACCAAATTAACAGAGTATAGATAAAAAAATATGAGGAATCTGATGAGAACTTCGTCGGGTCTCTATGAGGTCTTCAGGGGGTCTACAGAAAACCTTTTTGTATAAATACCATGGTCCCTGAATAAACGTCTGATTTTACAGCGCACATTACACTTTTTGCGCGTTCTGTGAGGCTGGACGCATGGTTTTTATTCGCTCGTCCACTGGCGAAACGGCATCGGCCTGACAGTGTGCTGCGAAGCGAGGTGCGAAGTGTAAGTTTTATGTTTGGAAAGCGATCTTTCATATCCGTGCTTTTTCGTATCAATTGATAATTTTTCTTTTTGAAAATGGGGAAAGATACTAAACGTAAATCTCAGTTAAAGAATTTGCGAATCAAAAAACGAACAAGTTCAAGCTATTCTGAAAAACAGACAGATTCATCTAGCGAAGAAGAAGGCGATTTAATGTTTCAACTTCCAGGTGACACTGATTTCACTTCCAAAGAAGTATTAGACACTCTCAACGAGCTAATGTCACTTTGTAAACAAAACTCAAACACAAAATGTTTGAGCGTCTTATTGTATATGTCACTTAGACACTTCAGTGTGTCTTATCGAGATGCTGATAAATTTTTGGACGCAATTGGTGCTTTTAAAGCAGAAACATGTCATACTCACAGTGATAGACTTCTCCACTATGGTGTCGATAGATTCGCAACCGATTTACGTGGAGGAAAACGTGGTGATAGCTTCTGGGACTCGTTCCCAGACATTGAACACGATGCACGTCAGTTCAGTATTGAAGCCTGTACCAGAAAAAATGCATCTTTTACGGTGGAGGAACTGGCTAAGTTTGTTGACGAAAAGTTCTTCGAAGTCACTGGTTTAACGAAGGATGATCCCGGTTTTATTCGTTCAACTCAGAGTTTACGGCTCGATTTGAAAGCTTGGGGAATCACTTACACCAATAACCGAAGCCGACCCTACTTTTTGGGCCAAGAAAAACCAGAAGTTGTACTCCACAGAGAACAGGTCATCAACTATTTTCTTTCGAGAGAACAATTTTATTTCCACGTGTCTGACGGTAATGATCCGAAATGGCTTATTCCAACCGTTCCAGAACCAGTTGTACTATTATGTGAGCATTTCTCTGTTTTTCTGCTCGCGTCAGTCATTCATTCTGAGTTTTTTTGCTATTTTTTAAGGTCACGACGAAAGTACATTTCGGTCAAACGAAATCTCTCATAAACGATGGATAGCAGAAGGTCACGAACCTTTTTTCGTCAAATGAAAAGGGCGGTCTCTGATGGTGTCTGACTTCCTCGTTGCACATCCGTCTTCACCCTTCTTTCGTCTCAACGATTCTGAGTATAAAGCGGCTCTAAAGAAGTACCCGGAGCTCTCAAAAACATCTGGGATCAACCACGAAGAAAATTCTGCCACTGCTTCGATTGCAATTGGCACAGACAATTATTTTACCAACGAAGTGGTTTTGGAACAATTTGAACGTTTATTCAAATTGTTACCCTTCAAAAAAGAGTACAAAAATTGTAAGGTTGAAATACTCGTCGATAACGCGACGACACACACTACGAAACTCTACTCTGTAAACGATTTCCCGAAAGGTGAAGG